GAGCTGCTGGACTCCTGCCTGGCGCGCATCGAGGCCGTGAACCCCAAGCTCAACGCCGTCGTCGCCCTCGACGTGCCCGCCGCACGTGCCGCCGCGGAGGCTGCCGAGGCGCTGTTCCGCGTCGGCGACGGCATCCGTCCGCTGACCGGCCTGCCGGTCGGCGTCAAGGACCTGAACGAGACCAAGGGATTGCGCACCACCTTCGGCTCGCCGCTCTTCGCCGAGCATGTTCCGACCGCCGACGCGGGGGTCGTGCGCCGCCTGCGCGCAGCCGGCGGGATCGTGGCCGGTAAGACCAACACGCCGGAGTTCGGTGCCGGCGCCAATACCGACAACGCCGTCTACGGTTTCACCGGCAATCCCTTCGACCCCATGAAGACCTGCGCCGGCTCCTCCGGCGGGTCGGCTGTGGCGCTCGCCACCTCCATGCTGCCGCTCTGCAACGGTTCGGATCTCGGCGGGTCGCTGCGCACACCGGCCGCCTTCTGCGGTGTGGTGGGGCTGCGCCCGACGCCGGGCCTGGTCGCCAAGAGCGCGCCGGCCATCCCGACCGCGCCCCTGTCGGTCGAGGGGCCGATGGGCCGAAGCGTCGCCGATCTGGCACTGCTGCTGTCGGGCCTCGCCGGCGAAGACCCGGACGATCCCTACAGTCGCCCTCTGGAGACGACGCTGCTCGCAGAATTGCAGCCGGTGGATCTCGGCGAACTCAAGGTGGCGGTCAGCGAGGATCTCGGCTTCGCACCCGTCGACGACGAGATCCGCGGCCTCTTCCGGGAGCGGGTGGGGGCCTTCCGTCATCTCTTTCGGGAGGTTCAGACGCGCGATCCCGAGATGGCGGAGGCCAACCGGGTGTTCGAGGTGCTGCGCAGCGTCGGCTTCCTGGCGGCCCATCTGGAGAAGGTGGAGCGGCACCCGGACAAGGTCGGCGCCAACGTCGCCAACAACGTCAAGCTCGGCCTCACCTTCGATGCGCGCGACGTCGCCTGGGCGAGCAAGCGCCACGGGGAGATCGCCCGCGACTTCACCGAGCTGATGGAGGAGGTCGACCTTCTGATCGCGCCGGGCGCCTCGGCCAAGCCCTTCGCCAAGGGGCAAAGCTATCCGGCGGAGATCAACGGCAAGCCGCTCGACACCTACATCCATTGGGTGGCGATCTCTTACGGCCTGACGCTGACCGGGCATCCGGTACTCTGCCTGCCGTGCGGCCTGGACGCCGACGGGCTGCCCTTCGGCCTGCAGATCGTCGGCCGCCGCTGGGACGAGCGCCGCCTGCTGTCGATCGGCGCTACTCTGGAAGCGGCCCTGGCGGGCCTTCCCGGTTGCGGCCGGCCTCTGCCCGATCTTGCCCGGCTTCGGAGCTGACCGTCCGGGACGCTCCGTCTTTCACCTTGCGCCGAGGGGGCGGTTCTCTCATATAGCGGAGGAGAATCATGTGCCGGCTAAAGCACGGCAAAGATAGGGAAATTTAGGGTCGGATCGATGGAAATCCTGTTTATCGTGTTGTTGGTCGCCTCGCTCGTCGCCGGTATTCCGGCAGCCGTCATGTCGAAGGTCTGGCCGAAGGTCGCGTTCGTTCTGATCTGCGCCGTGACCTTCAAGCTCGGCATGCTGCAGTTCTATATTTAGGTCCGCTAGTTTGAACGCCGCAGCATGACCTTTCGGATCCTTGCCTACGATGATCCCGGCAATCCGAGCTGCTTAATCCAGTCATCTCTTACCCAACTTTCGATCTTTTCAGTTCGAGAGTGCCAGAAGCTGTGCAAAGCATCAAAGTTACTTGGGTCTACCCATCCTTTTTCAAAGTCTTCAAGCTGATTGTACTGCGGCGTAGGGACTAAGCCGTGATCGCTCAGATACAGTAGTGGGCCAGTTATATATGCTGCGACACGGCAGATGATCTGTTGACACTCTTCTATTCGCTTCAAAGTAATAGCGCTCTTTTGTTTATTTATTTGTGCTCGCGAGCTAGCGTCAGCAGCATGAGCGATAAACTTCGATGCAATTGTATTGATGCTGCTGCAAAAACCGAGTTTGCTCTTTATGTCATCGAAGATAGAAGGGCTTAGCGTATCATCTCTTGATCTTGGTTTATCCACCGCCCCGGTCAGTTCGTCGAAGTTACGATGCAAAAGGACTGAAGTTTCGTGAGCCTGTGGTCCATGGGTCGGCATCCATCGGACGTGGACACTACCATTCCTGCTGGTCTCCTCGGCCAACTTCTGCAAGCTTCGCTGGCGTGCCGGTTCAGGGTCGAATGGCAAACCGTCATGGCAGACGTAGATTTCTCGGTTGAATAGGTGCGCGTTTGCCTTCATGTCATTCAGCAGGTGCGGCAACGTAATGCCGTCCCGACGGCGCGTTTGCTCCGTTAACCTGCGAATTGCGAGTAGTTGGTTGGCCACGTAGCCTTGGTCCATGAATGACGCAACTGCCGTGTTGAAGCCGACAGTTTGAGAAGGTTTTTTGTCGGCTAGACGGCGTGCCTCATTAACAGTCCGCCAAACCATATCATTCCAGAGCATTCCATGAATTTGCTGCCAGATTGAATGCTCATCTTCTGACAACCAGACACGCCACTGGTCCAGGCATTCACGAAAACGCTCTAAGTGCCGATACTCGCTCTGCCTAACGTCGCACTTTGAGATTGGGTAGCGGTAGTTCATACGTCTAATAGTCGATATAGACAGGCTGTCCGGCAAGCTGCTCTCGGCTCAACCGAGCCTCTTCCCGGAGCCCCGCATGGACGAAGGGTAGTGCCCTCGGCAGGAGTTGAATCCTTAACCTAACGCTTGCAAGGCGGTTGCTCTAACAGTTGAGCTATAGGGCGTGCTGCGCTCTTGCAGCCGGGCCGCGGATTGGGTTTGTACGAATCTTGCATTTGTCGGTCATCCGCTGGTGTTATTGGTCAATATTCTTGCACTCATTGCTGAGTGTAGGTGCTATTTTTGTAAATAAGTGGGATTTTATATTATAGTTGAGACTGGAGGGGAAGATAATGCCGTACTACAATCTCGCTGTTGAGCCTGGACATGTGCTGTCCGCGGTAGCGGTGGATCGTGTCGAAGCACTTGCGATATTCGGTAGGGAGCTTGGGAAGCAGCTAACCTTAGACAAGCAAAGCGACGTTGCAGCCTATATGCTCGACGAGTGGGAGCGAAGCCCCCATTGGGTCGAGCCAACTATACCAGTCTTTGTGATTGAGTGATCCTCGTTGGACGCAACTATTCTTGTCTGGACACTGGAGTATCGGCTCGCAGGCAGTTCAGAATGCAGAGCCTATGCTTAGTCACTGCGCCTGCTGCGCACCGTGTGATGTTAGATAGTAGAACGGCGGATTTGCTAACGCGCGCATTCTTTGACGACACATCTACTGTAAGTTGGGTATAGTGGAACCTTACAGTGATCCCGTGCAAACGGAGGACAGCAGTTGGATACCAGCGTTCCTTACATGCCTTCTGTAAGCAACTTGCACAAGATTCTGGATGCAATCCAGAGAGCGGGGGTTCCTGAGACCTTTAATCTGGACTTTCTAAAAGACCTTGGGTTCACCAGCTCTAATGACCGACCTGTCATAAAAGTCTTGAAGTATCTTGGGATGCTTGGCCCTTCCAATCATCCTCAAGATTCATATCGCGAATTTGTCGACCATACTAAGGCGAAAGCCGTACTGGCTGGCAGGATCCGCGCTGCATTTGATGATCTTTACCTCGCCGACAAAGATGCACACAATAAGTCTGTAGAACAACTTAAGGGGTGGTTCAAGACCAAGACCGGTGCCAGCGATTCGGTGGCGAAGAAAATCGCGACCCAGTTCAAGTCGCTCGCCAGCTATGCAGATTTTTCTGTGCCGCTACCGGCTACGCCAACTGTTCCCGAGCCCGAAACTGAAGAGAAGGACGAAGAACCGCAAAAGAAATTGCCGCCTGGCTTCGCGTCGGACCAGCAGGGTTTGGGATTGGTCTACCGACTCGAGATACACCTCCCGGACACCCAGAACGTGGAAACATTCCGGGCGATTTTTCGCGCTCTTCGAGAAGAGCTGATGCCGTGAAAACCCAAATAAACGACTTTGTCTTTACCGGGATCCTTGCTTCTCACTGCGTTCGCGACCTGCAAACGAGGGGGGTACTCCGAATTCCCGCCGTGACAGCGGATGAGCGTCGCGAGCAGGATCTATATGCTCCAGTTCCCGAGAGTATAAGGGGCGGCTCGATTCAAATGCAGCGTTGGTACCGGATGCTTTTTGTATTTGAGAATCTAGTGAGAGATTTTATTGTTACTAGAATGAAAGAGATAGATGGTGAAGGTTGGTTTGATAAACGCGCAACGGCTGCAATGAAGAAGAAAATTGAAGAAAGGCAGAGAAAAGAAGAAAAAAATCAGTGGCATACCGGAAGAAATAAGCAGCCAATTTATTATCTAGATTTTGGTGATCTTGGGCTTATTATCACAAATCACTGGGATATTTTTAAGGATTTTTTTGACAATCAGGCTTGGATTGTTAGTCGAATTCAGGATGCAGAACGGACGAGAAACGTTATAGCGCACACAAACCTCCTATCTTCGGAAGAGGGGGCGCGCCTAGAAATATACTTGAGAGATTTTATTAGGCAGATAGGTTAGGGCCTAACTTCTCATAGCCTGCGTTTATCTTTAGGCGAAATGCAGCGGCTTCAGCGACGAGTAAGTCTTGGAAATCTGAAGGAGCATCAGCCAGCGCCGACAGTGGTGGAAACCTTCGGTAAGCACGGCGTGAGCGAACCGACCTTTTACACGTGGCGGATCAGCTTTGTAGTACTGAAATACTTGTGCGGATCAAGCTGCAGCCGAACCCGGATCGTCATCCGCACAGCGGCTTTGTGAGAGCGTTCAAAGCGGGTGAGTCCTTTGTCTGAATCCCTGGCTCGGCAAGGCCGACCAAGAGATGCAAGCTTTAAGTAGGGCTGGCATCTGCCTGCGCCGATATTCCAAAAATCACGCATACGACTTCTGAAAAAAGTAGTGGAATTGCGTTCGACAAGGAAGATAGTGCGGGTACGGCCAAGCGCATCAAGAAATTGGTGCCGGATGAGGGACTCGAACCCCCGGCCTTCGGTTTACAAAACCGCTGCTCTACCAACTGAGCTAATCCGGCTCGCCAGTTCCTAACCCGCACATTTCGCCGACAACGCCAACAAAAGCAACTACAAGGCGGTTGCTCTACCAGTTGAGCTACCGGGGGCCCGCGACGCAGCGCTGAATATGGGCGGAAGGTATGCGGGTCGCCGACCGGGTGCAAGCGCCTCAGCCCGCGTTTGGCTCCTGGGAATCGTCGATGACGTAGGCGGCCGTGATGCCGCCGTCGACCGGCAGCAGGGCGCCGTTCAGGTAGCTGGCCTCATCGCTGGCGAGAAACAGGGCGACCGCCGCGATCTCCTCCGGTTCGCCCAGGCGGCCCTGGGGCATGTAGGGACGCCGTTTCGCCCAGGCGGCCTCGTCCGATAGGAAGGTCCGCACCAGCTCCGTACCGGTCGGCCCAGGGCAGATGGCGTTGAAGCGCAGGCCCTGGCGGGCGTGAACCACGGCCAGCTCGCGGGTCAGGGCGGCGACGCCGCCCTTGGCGGCGGTGTAGGCGATCTGCGGGAAGGCCGAACCGACCAGCGCGACGATCGAGGCGTTGTTGACCACCGCGCCGCCGCCGGCGCGCAGCAGCGCGGGCACCGCGTACTTGCAGACCAGAAAAACGCTGGTCAGGTTCACGGCCAAGGTGGCGCTCCAGGCGGACAAGGGTGTGTCGGCCGCGCCCCCGTCCTCCGGATGGACCAGCCCCGCGTTGTTGAACACCGTGTCCAGGCCGCCAAGCAGCCGTTCGGCGGCCTCGACGCCTTCACGTGTCGAATCTTCCTCCGTCAGGTCGGCGATGACGGGACAGGCCGTGGCACCCAGGGCGTGAAGGGCGTCCGCCGTCGCCTCGGCCGCCTCCGCCCTCACGTCGCAGCAGGCCACCGCCGCGCCTTCCCGGGCGAAGGCCAGAGCCGCCGCCCGGCCGATGCCGCCGCCCGCTCCAGTGATCAGGGCCTTCCTGCCGGCGAGCCGCCCGTGTTTTCGCCCGTTCCCTTGCATGCCGTTCGACCTCTTCCTCTTTTTTTCAGCTTTGGCTGGAGATGTGGAACTTTGCAACTTCTCCGTTGTCCTTCGAAGAACTGCCGGGCTAGCCTCCCCATAACACCGCGAGCAGGCTAGCCTGCAAAAGGAAAACAGGGTCGACAGGGTGCCGGGATCTTTCGCGAGGGAGTCCCGGCAGGTAACACAGGGCAAGAAAAGGGGAGGCGCGGCAACCGATGGCCGAAGCGCGCAGTATTTCCGAGATCGTGGATACGCTGAAGGACCGGGGGGCCAGGTACCTTCGCTTCGAGCTGCCGGATACCCACGGAACCAGCCGATCCAAGACCGTGCCCATCGACAAGGTCCAGGGCTATGCGAAGCGCGGGCTGAACCTCTACGGCGGCACGCTCGGGCTGGACACCGCCGCCTCGGTCGTCCCCGGCACCGGACTGAACGAGGAGATCAACTACGCCGACACCAAGCTTTGGCCGGACTTCGCGACGCTGCAGCCCGTGCCCTGGATCGACGGTCTGTGGAAGGTCATCTGCGACCTGACTTTCATTGACGGCACGCCTGTCGAGGCGGCGCCCCGTCATGTGCTGAAGCGGCTGCTGGAGGAGGCGGCCTCGCTCGGCTTCTCCGTCAAGATGGGGCACGAATTCGAGTTCTATCTGCTCGACGGCGAGACACAGGAGCCCTTCTTCGACGGCCTCCACATCTTCAACTCGACCCGCAATCACTGGGTCGAGGGAATCGAGCCGCTGCTGGATGCGCTGATCGCCCAGGACGTTGATCTGATCACCCACAACTGCGAATACGCCGGCAGCCAGTTCGAGATCAACTTCGGCCCGGGCGTTGGACTGGCCGGTGCCGACAAGGCCTTCACCTTCAAGGCGACGGTCAAGGAGTTCTGCCACCAGCTCGGCTACCAGGCGACCTTCATGTCGAAGCCCTGGGCCGACCGGGCCGGCTGCGGCTGTCATGTCCACATGGGGCTCCTCGATGCCGACAGCGGCGCCAACGCCTTTCTCGATCTCGACGATCCGAATGGGCTGTCCGGTACGGCCAAGGCCTTCACGGCCGGCATCCTGACCCACGCCAAGTCGATGATGCCGCTGATCGGGCCGACGCCGAATTGCTACCACCGCCTGTCCCCTCACACCTTCGCCCCCTCCAACATCTCCTGGGGCATCGAGGACCGCACGGCCATGGTCCGGATGAAGGCCTCGAAGGACGATCAAACCCATCTGGAAATGCGCGCCGCCAGCGGTCTGTCGAACCCCTATCTCAGCGCCGCCGCGACTCTCGCCGCCGGCTTGCTCGGGCTCAAGAAAGGCTACGATCTGCCGGCCGCGGTCGAGGGGCCCTGCGAGGAGGACGAGAGTTTCGAGAAGCTGCCCAAGCGTCTGGACGTCGCGCTTGCCGCCTTGGAAGACGACGCCGATCTGCGGGCGCTGCTCGGGGAACCCTTCGTCACACTGTTCACGGCGGTGAAGCGCCACGAACTGGCGCGCTTCCACGCGCACGTCACCGACTGGGAGCGCAAGGAGTACCTGGAGGTCTATTGATCCGGTCGCCGGCTTTCGTGCTCTCCCCACAGCTAGCCCGCCGGTTGTGTCAAACTCTTGTCATACAGTCGCTTTTCCGGCATAGCAGACTCGCAATCAAGCTCACCAGCACAGGTGCGAGACCGCAGTGTCGATCATTTCCGCCTTGAAGACGGCCGAGGCCCACAGCGAACCCTTCGAGCATTTCATTCTGAAGGACTGTTTGGAGGAGGGCGCCTGCGAGGCGATCGACAGGACCGACGTCGATCACACCGGGGTCTTCGACGGCACGCGTGCAGGCAACAATCAGGCGCGGCTCTTCATCGGCAAGGAAAACCTGACGGACTTTCCCTTCCTGCGCTCGACCATCGAGGAACTGCGCAGCCAGCAAGCTGTGAACCTGCTGCGCGACCGTTACGGCGTCGACGTGGCGGGTCACTACCTGCGTGTGGAGATCTGCTGCGACCTCGACGGCTTCTGGCTGGAGCCGCACTGCGACATCGTCGAGAAGATGGTGACGATCCAGGTCTACGTGGATCCCGACGGCCGCCAGCCGGAACTCGGCACCGACTTCTATACGCCGGATTTGGCCAAGGCGAAGACCGTGCCCTTCGTCAACAATCAGGCCTACTGCTTCTTCCCCAAGCCAGGGAAGGACTCCTGGCATGGTTTCGACAAGCGCCCCATCGACGGACGCCGCATGACGGTGCTGATCAACTACGTGACCTTTCCCACTGATTGGACCGTCCCGGCTGAGGATTAGAGCGCAACAGACGCTAAGGCCGCGCGGGGAAAGGATAGCCCGCGCGGCCTGATTCGTTCGGGCTACGCTCGCGCCAAGCTAGTTCAACGCTGTGCCGAACAGAGTGCGGTGCTTCAGCTTGTAGACGTCCGTGCTGTCCATCAGCGGAGTGACCAGTTCGTGGTTCAGCCCAGCCGCGCGGACCAAGATGCCGCCCGCCACGTCGTTGTAGCCGACCCAGGCGATCCCGAAGGGATGGGATACGCCCTGGCTGTCGGGGGCCGACATGAAGACGTCGCCGAAGTTGCCTTGCTGGCCGTGCAGGATGCCGCCGCCGTTGGTGACTGCCGCCACGGCGCCGCCCTCCGGCGCCAGGGAGCCCGAGACCACTTGCAGCCCGGCGGCGTCGGAATCCGCAGTTAGCAGCATCAGCGTGTCGGGGGTCTCCTCGACGAAGTCATGGATGATGCCGATTGCCTCGTCGGCGCGGCGCAAGGCCTCCAGCGTGCCGGCCGCGTTCATGTTGTTGGCGATGTTGTCGGTGCCCTCTTCTTCGATCACGGCGAAGAAGCCGGTCTCGCTACGCGAGAGGATCGCCAGGGCGACTTCGGTCATCTCGCCGATGGTCGGAGCGGTCTCTAGGTAGGTCGGCAGACCTTCGATCAGGTTTCGCTCCCGCTCCTGATCGTTGAAAGTGTGATTGTGGGCGAAGATGCCGAGCACTCGCTCGACCTCGGCGGTGTCGAGCGCCATGAGTTCGTCGCGCGTGTAGACGACGGTGTAGCCCAGCTCCTCGGCACGTGCGATCAGGTTCAGGTCGTCTGCGCGTTCGCCGGCGCCGTGCCGTCCCTCGGTTCCCTCCGGCAACAGAAAGCGTTCGCCGCCCGCCATGATGACCTGGGCGCCCGACTCGATGACCTGCTGGGCGATCTCGTCGGTGTTGGAGCGTGCTTCGGAGGAGGCGACGAAGACGGCGGTGCCCGGCTCGGCGATATGGCCGGACTGGATCAGGCCGACCGCCCGACCGGCCTCGATCGCTTCCTCCGCGATGGACATTTGCTGGCCGGAGGCCGCGGTGATGACCTCCGTGCCGTTGAGGCCGAAGGAGTCGTTGACCACCTTGACCCCATAGGCGTGCACCGTGGCACCGCCGTGGGACGTGCCGGTCAGCCGGTCGGCCATGTGGCCGGTGTAGACGCCGAGGCCGGGCAGGCGGTCCCAGTTCAGCGTGCCGTCCGGTCCAGCTATGTGCATGCGGGCCGCGCCCCAGTGGTTCACGCCGCTGCCGTCGGGGTGGAAGAAGATGACGTTGCCTGTCTCCTGTGCCGCGACCGGTGTCGCGGTTAGCGCTAGGGCGAGCGTCGCCGCGAGGGCGAGCCCCTTATCCGTCCAAGTCATGCGAAACCCCTCATGTTCGAGTGTGTGTGCGCGGCCGATGGCGGGCTTCCACTCCGCCTCTGCCGTACCATGCATTTGGTTTATTGCGACTAATTCGCAATCGAGTTTTGGTTAAATTTTGGGGACGGCGGCTGCTCATCTTCGATAGACGTCTGGGAGTTTTCGCGCAGGGCTTGTGGTCGAAACTCTCCGGCTAATTGGACACGCGACGGCGATCGCCCGCTCGCACCGCCGCCACCGCCGGTTCCTCTGCCGGCCGCAGCTTGGTTCTTCCTCTCGGCTCTTGGTGCGCTGTTCGGTCTGCGGTTCTTTGGGCGGGCAAAAGTGACAAAAGAGACGTAGAACGGCTTGGGTGGAAGTTTGCGTTCTCGGCAGCCGCTATTGCTTTGCTGTCGACTATGCCCGCTGGGTTGAAGACGGTTGGTCAAATCTCTGATTGAGAAAGCGAAACGGCGCGACGATCGGCAGGATCTTCAGTTGCTTCTGCGGTGCCGACCTCAGCCTTTTCAAAGTTGCCTCAGTCTTGCGTCGCCCTGTTGATGCAAAATCGTTTCTCACCTCTACAGTCCAATCAAAGTGTATCCAGAGTATCCGCGTATAAATTATAAATCTATTTTTCAGTCTTGGCGCGCATTGAATTCTTTCGTTTTCAATCTCACAATGAATAACTGTCACTTCGGTGCGTTGCAGAGGCCTCGTGCGAGGTTCAACGCGTTCATGCCGGCTCTCGCCGATGCCGGGCGCTGCGCTCAGGTCAGACCGGGCTGGGGCGCGGTTCTTCCGCAATTGAGATCTGTGGGTCGAGGCGGAGCGAGATGTTGCCGTCAGTCATAGCTGCGGCCTTGGCAGGTCGGGAGTCACTCTCTCCTGAGGGGCTGCCGCGGACGCGACGGCGTCTGCGTTCGATCTGAGTGCAAGCTGCCTTGACGAAAGGAGCCTGATTTTGGCGTCGCTGACCCGCTTCTCTCCGGCGGCGATTGCCATTGCCATCGGATGAGACAACCCGGAGATCCTTGAGACAAATCACTCGATCTAACGCAAAAGGGGCAGTCATGCGCGACACGAGTTTGATCGAACCGATTGAGTTGGCGACGCTCATCGAGCGCGAACCTACGGTGATCATCGATACCCGCGATGCGGAAAGCTTCGCGGCGGGGCATATCGAAAACGCCGTGAACATCCATGACATCTTCACCTACTTTGCGACGTCCACTCCTGAGGGTCTCAAGGAACTCGAGCAGTCCTTTGCCGAACGATTTGGCAAGGCCGGACTGTCGGGGCAGGAAACCGCGGTCATTTACGAAGACTCGATGGACTCCGGGTTCGGGCAGTCCTGTCGCGGCTTCTTTCTCCTGAAGTATCTCGGCTATCCGCGCGTGGTTGTGCTTCACGGCGGTTTCAGGTCATGGACCGCTGCGGGGTTGCCGACGACGGTCGCGGCAACCCGACCGGACTCCAAGGTCTTTCCGCAGTCTGAGGACGGAAAAGACCTGATGATCGATGCGAACGCGATGATGGAGGCACTCCAGGACAACGCCATCGTAAAGCTCGATGTCCGGGATGTGGACGAGTGGATCGGAGACAGCTCCTCTCCCTACGGTCGGGATTTCTGTCCTCGCAAGGGCCGAATTCCCGGCGCGAAATGGATCGAGTGGTATCGCATGATGAAGCCGACCGCTTCAGGGCCGAAGCTGAAGAACCGGCAGGAAATCCTCGCCGAGTGCGCGACGATCGGGGTCGGAGAGGATACGCCTGTCTACCTGTACTGCTTCAAGGGTGCCCGCGCGGCCAACACCTTTCTCGCTCTCAAGGAAGCCGGCATCAAGGACGTCAAGCTGTACTTCGGATCGTGGAACGAATGGTCGAGGAACGCTGCCTTGCCGATCGAGAGCGGCCTGCCTTACTAGCGTCTCAGGCCCACGTCACGATTGGTTGGGAGTCACCCTAGGCCGCCAGCTTGCGGCGCCTGCGGGCTAGGATGGCCGCGTTGAAGGCGCTGTAGAGCTTCACCGAGTCCGGGTTTTCCGGCGCCCGATACTCGGGATGCCACTGAACGCCGAGCGCGAAGCTCTCGGCCCCTTCGATGCGTACGGCCTCGATGATGCCGTCCGGCGCTGTCGCTTCCACGGCGAGGCCGGGGGCCAGCCGCTCGATGCCTTGGTTGTGCAGGGAGTTCACGGTCGTCTCGCTGCGTCCCAGGATCTCCGCGAGCGCCCCGCCCGGCGTCAGGCTGACCGCATGGTTCGGACCGTACTGCACGTCCGCGTCTTCATGTTGCGGGCGGCGATGATCCAGCTTGCCTTCCAGTTCGTGCAGGCGGGGATGCAGCGTTCCACCCAGCACCACGTTCAGTTCCTGAAAACCGCGGCAAATCGCGAAGAGCGGCAGCTTCTGGGCCAGGGCTTCGCGGATCAGCGGCAGGGTGGTGGCGTCCCGTGCCTCGTCGTAGGGCTCGTAGCGCGCATGCGGGTCTTCGCCGTAGTGGCTCGGGTGCACATTGGCCGGGCTGCCCGTCAGGATCAGACCGTCCATGTGACGCACCAGTTCGGCAATATCGAGATGGTGACCGAGCGCCGGAACGACGAAGGGCGTGGCCTCCGTGCAGTCGGAGACGGCCCGCAGATACTTGTCGCCGACCACATGAAACGGCTTGCCGTCGACTTCCTTGAAGTCGGCGGTTACGCCGACCAACGCCGTAGTCATGGTCTTCGATCTCCCGGACTTATCCCGACTGCTCGATCTCAAGCTTGAAGGAGAGATAGCGCTGCAGCTCGCTCAAGGCTACCACGCCGCGCAGCTCTGTGCCCTCCGCCACCATCACATGGTCGCGTCCGGTGCGGCGCATGGCGGTCAGCGCCTGGGCGACGTCGGCCGAGGGTTTCACGACGGTGTCGCCAGACAGCGGCGTCATCACTTCCGCGACCGTGAGGTCGCGCCAGCGGGTCTTGGGGACGCGGCGCAACTGTCGGGCGGCCAGGCTGCCGACCAGCCGCGGCCCCTCGACCACGGGATAGAAGTCCGCATGGGTGACGTAGACGTAGTCCTGCACGAAACCCTCGATGCTGAGGTCGGCGGGAACGCTGACGGCGGGCTCGTGCAGGAAGCGGGTAACGGGCACCTCGTCCAGTAGGCGATGGGTGATCATTTCGCTGTAGCTGCCCTGAGCTGCGGCCCGTACGAAGAGCCCGATCAGGAACATCCAGACGCCGCCGACCACATCGCCCGAAACGGCGCGCAGGATGCCGAAACCGATCAGGACGACGGCGAAGATGCTGCCGGTCGTCGAGGCGATCTTGGTGGCCCAGAGCAGGTCGCCGCGCCAGCCCCAGAGGAAGGCCCGCAGCGCCCGGCCGCCATCGAGCGGGAAGGCGGGGATCAGGTTGAAGCCGCCGAGCAGCAGGTTGATCAGGAAGAGGTAGTAGAGCACGCCGGCGAGGCCCTGCGGCAGCTCGGCGGCGACGGCAAACAGCCAGGCCAGGTAGCTGAGCCCGGCGAGCGCCAGGCTCATGAGCGGTCCGGCGATGGCCATCAGGAACTCGCTGCGCGCTGTCTCCGGCTCGCGCTCGAGCTGGGCCACGCCGCCGAAGATGAAGAGCGTGATGTACTTGATCGGCAGCCCGTAGGCGCGGGCGACCAGCGCATGGGCCGCCTCGTGCAGGATCAGGGAGGCCCCCAAACCGATCATTCCGACGATCGCCATGGAGAGGTAGAGCGTTTCCCCGAGACCCGGGTAGAGCGCCGGGAAGAAGCCGACGGCCAAGGACCAGGTGACCAGCAGTGCCAGAAACAGCCAGGTCACGTCGATTTGAATGCGGAACCCGAAGAGGTCGAAGAGGTTGAAGGTTTTGCCGAACATGCCCGAGGCGCGGCTCCTGTCGATGTCGACTCGATTGCTGCCGATCAACCTAAGACCGTAATCGACCGCGTTCCAGCGCCGCAGCCGGGGCGGCCTGTAAGTCAGGCGGTGCTGGAAAGCGGTTCAGGAAGCGTCGGGCGCGCGGCAGGGCATTCTCCAGGAACTGCTCCGGCTCCCGCAGCCACAGGCCGTCGTAGCGTTGGGATTCTCGTTCCGAGATCAAAACGTCGCGCGGCAGTTCGACGACTGTCGCATCCCAGCCGGGCCAGAAGTGGCCTGCGCGCCGATGAATATGCGTCAGGTAGCGCGCCCGGTTCGAGAAGCCGTGGTAGTCGAACACCCAGTCCGACGTCGCCACGACGATATGGTTGCCTGTGTAGCCCGGTGCGGGCTTGAACCAAAGGGCCTGCATCGAGGGGGTGCCGTAGCGCTCCAGGAAGGCATAGGCGAGGATGTGGCAGGCGCCGCAGGCGAAGAAGACACGATCGGGCAAGGCCCAGCGTTTCCGGGGATCCTGTTTGGAGTAGCCGCTGGTTCGGACCCGATAGATCGTCCGTCTCCCTGGATGGATTGAGCCCCGACGCGTTGGACCCCGACACCTGACACAGGGTAACGGTTTGCTCAGGCCGCCCGAAAGGTCACAGGATGGCCGAGAAAGCGCCGCGCGACCTCCCCGACCTGGTCGAGGTCGCCGGTGGTGAGAAAGTCGGTGCTGCCGTGTTGCGATCTGGCCGGAGGTCTGTCGAATCTCGGATGCCGCTGAAGGTAGACGGCCAGGCTTTCCGCGACCAGTTCCGGCTGTGAGATCATCTTCGCCGAGGGCGGCAGATAGCGCCTAAAGAGATCGCCGACCAACGGATAGTGCGTACAGCCCAGAATGACGGCATCGAGCGGCCGTCCGCACAGGCGCTTTGCAAGACCCGCGACCGCATCCTCCACCTGTCCCGCAAGCTCCGACTCCGGCGCGTCGGCCTCGATGGCACCGGCAAGTCCTGGGCAGGCCTGTTGGATCACCTGGATCTTCGGAGCCCGCTTGCAGATCTCGATGCGGAAGGCGTCGCTCTTCACCGTGTGCCGCGTCGCGAATACGCCCACCGTCGTGGCGGCGGCGCCCTGCTCGGGCGGAACGCTCTGGACCGACCAGGGAACCTGCGTGACGGCTTCGACGACGGGCACGATGACGCCCAGGATACGGTGCTCCGGATAGCGGCGGGGCAACCAGTCCTGCTGGAGCCGCCGCAGCGCGACGGCGGCGGCGCTGTTGCAGGCGACGATGACGAGGCGGCAGCCGTCCGCGAAGAGGCGCTCGACGCCGTTGCGGGTGAGCGAAACGACCTCCTCCGGGCTGCGGCTTCCGTAGGGCGCGCGTCCATGGTCCCCGAGGTAGAGGAAGTCGCGCTGCGGGAAACGCGCCTCCAGCGCGCGTTGAACGGTGAGGCCGCCGTGGCCGGAATCGAACAGGCCGATCATATTCGACGATGTAGCAGGGACGGGGAGAGTCGCGCCCCGAGTTTTCCGAGACCTTAGCCTAAGCCGGGACTGCGGCCTGCACCGGAGCGGACCCCGTGAGGGGAACGCGGTCGATCTCGGTAAAGGACGTGTCGCTGGCAGGCTGACGGAAGATCGAAAGCGCATCGATCGTCAGCGGCTCTTCCAGTGCCGGAGCTGCAAGGTCTTTCAGTTCGGCGTGCCAGCGCGCACGCTCGGCCTCCGGCAGCTTCGCCGTCAGCGTCATGTGCCAGCGGAACTGGTCGAAGACGTGGGGATAGCCCCAGCGTTGCAGCAGCTCCTCGTGACGGGCGCTCAAACCCTTGCCGCGTCGCTTGGCCAACTCGGCGGCACTCGGCGGGGCCCGAAAGCTGTCGAAGCGCGACACGCAGGCCTGCGCCAGTTCGCCCAACGTCGGCGGCGCAGCCGCTGGCACCAATGCCAGAAAGCCCGAGAGGTTGCCGACCAATAAGCGGCCGACCGTCACCGGCGGCTGCTCGGCCGCGAAGGCGCGCAGTCGCTCTTTCAGCGCGCAGAGGTCGTGCCCCTCGGCGAAACGGAACGGCGGTTTCAGCGTCGCGTGGAAGCCGTAGTGGCGCGGCGAGGCGGTGATCTCGCGATTGTCTCCGCGGCCGAACCAGGCCGATGCGAAGGCCGCCAGCGCCGAGTCGGGGGAGGGTGCGAAGTAGAGGGCGCAACGCTCGGTCATCCAGCCAACTCTCACCGCAAGACGGCTTTAGAGAACGCGGCGGCCGCCGCGCCACACGCCGCGCACCACGGGAAGGTCGTGGCTGCGGGTCACCCAGATCAGGTCGGCGCGCTGGCCCTCGGCAAGCTCGCCGCGATCGTCAAGGCCGACCATGCGGGCCGGGTTGCGGCTTGCGACCGCCGCCGCCTGGGAGAGATCCCAGCCCAGGTCGTCGTGCAGGCGGAAGACGCCCAGCAGCAGGCTGGCGGGGACGTAGTCGCTGGCCAGAGCATCCAACAGACCATGGCGCGCCAGATCGCTGACTGCGACGTTACCGGAGTGCGATTTGCCGCGCACGAGATTGGGCGCGCCGCCGATGGTGGTCAGGCCGTGATGGCGGCAGGCCCGGCCGGCCTCCAGCGTGGTCGGAAACTCGCTGATGGTCAGGCCCAGTGCTGCCGCTTCCGAGACATGCGCCTCCGTGGCGTCGTCGTGGCTGGCCAGCGCGACGTCGGTCTCGCGGATCATCGCGGCCAGCGCGGTCCGGTTCGGTCCGGACCAGCGCTCGTGATCGGCCAGGCGGGCGTCGATGTAGGCGTCCATCTCCGCCTCGCCGAAGCCCATCTTGCCCATGTAGTAGGTGCGGTAGGCCTCCAGGTTGGCGAACTGCCGCTGGCCCGGCGTGTGATCCATCAGGGAGCACATGCCCAGTAGCGGTTCGTCCTGGAAGTCGGCGAAGTCCTGGACCACGCTGGACTTGCAGATTTCCAGGCGGATGTGGATGCGGTGATCGCTGCGCAGCAGACGTGCCGCCTCGGCGGCGCGGATCTCCTCGACGCTCTCCTTCAGCGTCGTATAGCAGCGGTCGTCGTCGTCCTCGTCGCCCAGACGCAGGGAATCGAACACCGTGGTGATGCCGGCGGCCGTCAATTCGGCGTCGTGGGCCAGCAGGGCCGGCAGCATCGGCCAGACCACCTTGGGGCGGGGCTTGACGTGACCCTCAAGGTTGTCGGTGTGCAGCTCGATCAGGCCCGGCAGCAGCCAATCGTTTTCCAGGTCCATCGCCGGCGCGCGCGCGACATGGCCCTCGTCGACCGAGGCGACCAGGCCGTCGCGTAGGGAGACGGAGCCCTCGACCACCCGGTCCGGCAGAACCAGGCGCGCATTGGTCAGATTCACCTCGTGCTTCATGCGGCGGCCTTTCCTTCGACGAGCGGGATCTCGCGGGTGGCAACGGCGGTGCGGGTTTCCGCATCGTGAAAGATGCCGATGATTGCGGCGCCCTTGCGGCGCGCATCCTCTATCAAGTCTATGACTGCTTTGCGATTCTGTGCATCCAGTGACGCCGTCGGTTCGTCGAGCAGCAGAATCGGGTAGGGAAAAGCGAAGGCTCGGGCAATGTTGACCCGCTGCTGCTCGCCGCCTGAGAAGGTGGCCGGTGCCAACGGCCAGAGTCGCTCGGGCAGGTTCAGATGTTTCAGCAGATCGTGGGCGCGGGCTTCGGCTTCGCGTCGCGGGACGCCCGCCGCCACGGCGGGCTCGATCACCAGTTCCAGGGTGGGCACCCTTGGGATCACCCGCAGAAACTGACTGACATAGCCGATGGTGGCGCGGCGCAGTTCCAGCACCGTCTGGGGATTGGCACCGACCAGCTCGATCCAGCTGGCGTCCCGGCGCACCCGGATTGAGCCGCTGTCAGGCAGATAGTTGCCGGTCAAGCAGCGCAGCAGGGAGGACTTGCCGGCGCCGGAACTGCCGACCAGGGCCAGGCACTCTCCGGCGGCGATCTCCAGGTCGAGATTCACCAAGGCCTGGATCTGCACGCCGCCCTGGGTATGCAGGGTGAAGCTCTTGGCGAGGCTTTCGATTTTAATCAGCGTGTCCATGGCTCAGACCGGCAGGATCGAGGAAACGAGCATCTGGCTGTAGGGGTGCTGCGGGTCGTCCAGGACCTGATCGGTCAGCCCTTCCTCCACCACGCGTCCCTTCTGCATCACCAACAGGCGGTGGGACAGCAGCCGGACGACCCCCAGGTCGTGGGTCACCAGGATGCAGGCCAGACCCAGATCGCGCACCAACCCGCGCAGCAGGTCGAGCAGCCGTGCCTGGACCGAGACGTCGAGGCCGCCGGTCGGCTCGTCCATGAAGACCAGCCTCGGCCCGGTGACGAGGTTACGAGCGATCTGCAGGCGCTGCTGCATGCCGCCGGAGAAGGTGGCGGGACGGTCGTCGATCCGCTCCGCGTCGATCTCAAGCTGCTGCAGCCAGTGGCTGGCCTGGCCTCGGATCTCGCCATAGTGGCGGGCGCCGACGGCCATCATCCGCTCGCCCACGTTGGCGCCGGCGGAGACGCCCATGCGCAGACCGTCGCGCGGGTTCTGACGCACAAGGCCCCATTCCGTGCGCAGCAGCAGCCGGCGTTCGGCTTCGCTCAGTTCGAAGAGCTCGACCGGACCTTTGCCCCGGCTGTCGTAGATCACCGACCCCTCGCTCGGCTCCAGCTGGGCGGAGAGACAGTTCAACAGGGTCGTCTTGCCCGAACCGGACTCGCCGACCACGCCGATCACCTCACCGGGATAGAGGTCGAAGGAAACCTCCGCGCAGCCGATGCGTGGCCCGTAGCGCTTCGTCAGGCCGCGAACCTTCAGCAGAGGACTTGCCGGCGTGCCGTTCGCTGAGGTCATGCCGGACTCCCGAGCGTGTCGAGGTTGGGCTTGCCCTGGTCGTTTTGCCGGCGGTTGCAGTAGTCGGTGTCTGAGCAGACGAACATCCGACCGCCGGCATCGTCCGTGATCACCTCGTCGAGGAAGCTGTCGCTGGCGCCGCAGAGCGCACAGGACTCCTCCCAGGTCTCGACCTCGAAGGGATGGTCGTCGAAGGCCAGGCTTTCGACCCGCGTATAGGGCGGCAGAGCATAGATCCGCCGCTCCCGTCCGGCGCCGAAGAGCATCAGGGCCGGCGAGTTGTCGAGCTTCGGATTGTCGAACTTGGGAATCGGCGAGGGGCGCATGAGGTAGCGCTCCTCGACCAGCACCGGATAGTCGTAGGTCTTGGCGATCCGGCCATGGCGCGCCAGGTCCTCGTAGAGACTGACGTGCATGACGCCGTACTCCTCCAGCGCATGCATCTTGCGCGTTTCGCTTTCCCGCGCTTCCAGCCAGCGCAGCGGTTCGGGAATGGGCACCTGGAGCACCAGGATCTGACCGTCGCGCAAGGGCGTCTCGGGAACGCGGTGGCGGGTCTGGACGATGCTGGCGCGCTCGGTCGCCGTGGTGGTTGCGACCTCGGCCGTCGCGGCGAAGAACTTGCGGATCGAGACGGCGTTGGTGGTGTCGTCGGCGCCCTGGTCGATCACCTTCAGGACATCGCTCGGTCCGATGATTGCCGCCGTCACCTGCACGCCGCCGGTGCCCCAGCCGAAGGGCATCGGCATTTCACGGCTGCCGAAGGGCACCTGATAGCCGGGGATCGCGACGGCCTTGAGCAGGGCGCGCCGGATCATCCGCTTGGTCTGCTCGTCGAGATAGGCGTAGGTGTAGCCCTGTTCGCCCAGGCGCGAGGCGGTGCTTGTCTGGTCCCCGGTCACTCGGCGGCCTCCTGTTTCTCGGTCTCTTCGCGGCGGGCGAAGAACTCGGCGCGCAGGCGGCGCAGCAAGGTCAGTTCCGACTGGAAGTCGACGTAGTGCGGCAGCTTCAG